CCCCAAAACCCCAAAACCCCAAAACCCCTCATACTCCCAAAGCTAATAAAATTACAACTTAAAAAATATGGGTGAAGGCTGGAAGAAACTCAAAAGAGCATTCAAAAAAATATTCAAGAGATGTCAACACAAGAAGACTACGAATAAATCTACTGCCAAAGTAAGCTAACTCCTCAACCTCTAGTTTATAGAGATTACAAGTGCTTCCGGTGAAGAAATTAAGACAGAAAGAACATGGAATGGGTTTAGAAAGGTGTCTAAGACCACTATGCAGGAGTTTGTGACTGAAAAGAACAGAGTTACCGTCAGAGAAACTTTTTCATATGCCCAACCTCAACGTATGTGGTTAAGACGTCTACAGCAAAAACGGCATTATTTATAGATTGCTTATACCTGGAGAGAATAGACTCATTTCTTTCAACGATGTTTATAGGAGATTTAATATTTTACCTTTTTAACCACATTTTTGCACATGATGAACTTTAATATCAAGATAAGGTTGAAAAACTTGTACAGAATTTGTTTAAACTCAAATTCATCTCACTAAATATCTCACCAGGCTTAAATATTGCTCTAAAAATTAAAAAATCTTGCATTCCCCAACAATTTCTCCTCCACAATTTTTTTTAAAAACTTCCAACTAGGATATCAATGCCACAGATCCTTAAAAATGTCCTTTACACAAATTATTTAACAGCATTCATCTTTTCCTTCCTCGCACGAGGAAGGCCTATTCTGGATTCTATGAACCACGCAATCTTTAAAAATCCTGTTTAGCCAGGACCTTGTTGCAAATATCTTCCAAAACTTGCCTAAACTATAGTTCAAAATTATGATTAGAAATCGAATAAATTTCGACCAACTTATTGTTAAAATATAGGTCTCATAGGCAATGAAGTTAGGCTAAGCTCAAGCACTCGTGTATCCCAAATTAATGCTAAAACCGGCCAACATGAGACTAAACCACAAAAGCGAGAGTATCCATTTGAGAAGTTGACTAGAGAAATGGAAGAAGTCAAGGAAGAAATTGCCCAAAATAAAATAGAGAATGAAAGAAATCTACAAGAGAAAGGGCAGCTGCAGTCCTCTCTTGAAGAGACTAGAGACAAGGTAGCGAGTCTGGAAAGGAGACTAGACAGGTTCTCCACATTTGAGTCAACAATGACGTCTATTGCTGAAGGTATGAGCAAACTGTGCTCGAATTTTTCTCCAAGACCATTCTGGACATTAAAAAATAGACTTTCATTTCGAATCTTTGTTCTCAAAATTTTCTAGCTTTTAGAAATCCTTTAAAATTTACCATCCATCTAGATCTGAAGAAAAGAAATGAACTTGAAGAAAAATAAACTTGAAGAAGCTGTTAGACAGCAAGAAAGAGAAGAGCTCAGAAAGGACAGAGAGAGACTCGAAGCAGAAATCAAAGAGAATAATCGAGAGCAAGCTAGGAGACGTGAAATGTTCGAGTTCTTCTTGATGCTTCAAAATAATGTTTCTCAACAAATAGATATGAAGATCCAACAGAGAGATGAGAGACAAGAGGTAAGTTTAACACTTATCCTTGACTTACTCTACCCGGCTATGAGGATTACTGCAAGAGTTTTTAGCCAAGATATCCAAAAATTATTCTTATAAAATATTGTGGATTCTGAAACTTTTTAGGAAAGATTTCTTACCACAAACTTGAGGTTTTACTATTTAATACTCATCGATAATTCTTGGTTAAACTATTTAAAATAGCAAATGATGGCTTATTATCAAGAGATGATGGATGAAAGGGCTCAAGAGTACGCTCCCAAAATAGTTCTGACAGAATCCTCAGAGAAGTCGATCCCATTCCAAAAGTCTCAGCTTGGTACGTACAGCTCCTTAGACACCCATGAAAAGCAGTTCCTAAGTTATATAGGACCAATGAGTCATAAAATATCACCCAAGAAATTTCTAGAAGGTAAGGAATCCTAGTTATTCAAAATTTTCTAAATAATTTTAGTCCCAAATCCAGTCCAGGTCAGAAATGTAGAGGAGGAAAATAATGGAAACAAGGAATCCAAGAGCCAAATCGGATGCGATTTCATTCCTGAAGCTTACCTAAGATCCTTTGCTGTGAAACCTCATGAGGGCCCACAGCACATGGAGTGTCAGGAGCAACAAGAATCCTCTGAAACTATAGTATCTAACTATATGAGGGTCAGAGAGTTTACGAAATAGTCCCTTGATTTCTAAACGATTTCTGATTTCATGAATTGACATCTTTCTATAAATTTATTCCTTAGGGGTTTTGGGGTTTTGGGGTTTTGGGGTTTTGGGGTTTTGGGGTTTTGGGG